GAGAGGGAGAGAGAGAGAGAGAGAGAGAGAGAGAGAGAGAGAGAGAGAGAGAGAACAAGAACCAACAATCATGCTGGCTCTTTTAGACTATGCACCGCTACACCTTTATGCCAGAACGCCTGGCTATCTCAGAAACCTTGAGCACTGCCCCCAGGCAGCGAACCCCTAGGCCACCCACTTACACTATGTGCAGCACACTTTGTCTCCAGACAGAAGGTGCCTGCCCCACCCCTCCTGACAGGGCTGCTGGGCTGGGCCCATTTCTTTGGACTAGGATTTGTTTTTGGTAACTAGTCTTAAAATGGCAATTCCCATAGCATGCCCTAGTTGTTGTAAACACTCCTTTATAACAGTACATGCAGAAAAAAATTGGAGTCACACCCAACGTTGCTAATCAGCTATGTAGGACTCCCTCTGTTTGGGTCCATGGCTGAAGAAACCTGCTAAGGCACCAGAAGAAGCCGTCTTTCCAGTGCTATGAAGAAATTGTCTGGATGGGAATCAGGCCTGTGGCTCTGCAGCATGACATTATATAACTGATGCTAAGAGCCACCCTGCCTTTTCTTCAGGAGACTAAAATTCCCCTCGAACTGCATTTAGAACCCATTGGCTTTCTTCTTTCAAGCAGAAAAAAATTAAAAAAAAAGGAAAAAGGTGTGTAGGCAAACTTGTGATGTGATGTACAAAGGTGTGAAGTATACAGCTACCCACCTAGTTTAATTTCGTTTTCCTGCTTGCATCTCTTCAGACTTTTCACTCTTGATTAACCAGTGTAGAAGGTCTAAGGAACCAGAAAAAAAGAAAACAAGATTAGAGCTACACATACCCTGGGTTGTAAACTAGACCAACCTCTGGGAGACAAGTTTGCAGCATCTGTTAGCATGCCGCCATGAGCACAACCTTCGAGTGGACCAAGTGTCCAGGAATTGATACCATAGATACACTCAAGCGAGGCAAAGCTACCGCATGGAGTTAAGTTCTTGGAGATCAGCATGCCAAGATGCTACGGCCATTTCAAAGTATAAAATACTCACATGGAAAAATATGTATGCTTTGTTGCTTAAAAGAATATTGGGAAATTGCATATATTACTTCTGCTTTTTTGTGGGGGGACAGTCCTCCAATGTAGTACCAACTAGCCTCACAATCTCCCCCTCAGTGCTGAGGTGACAGGCATATAAGCCCACACACAGCTCCCTGCTCCCTGCATAAAGGACAGTAAGGTGCATTTGTTTTCAGGTGTTGGGGGAGGGGGAGAATCAAAACAGAACAGATCTTCCAATCTATTTTCCTGTTTTGGTTTTCCAGACAGACGGCTACCTAGCTGGAATTCTTTGTGTTGACATGCAGATTTCTATGAACCTAGGTCAGCCAAGGCTACAAAGCAGAAAATAGATAAAGTCTAAAACAGAAACCCCTCAACCAATGCCATCCAGCCCTGGGAGTGGCTGGCTGCTGGGAACTGGCTATTTCAAACCACCACATCTCTGCTCACTGGAGGCTGCACCCAGCAGATGTCCTGGCTTCCATAGCTGTGAGAGCAGGAGCCCACAGAAGAGAAATGTAAACACTTTTGAACCATTTAGTCAGAAGGAGAGAGCAGAGGCAATACTACAGTAAAGTGAAAGAAGCTGAGCGCACGCTCCTCACAACAGGTGCCACAGTCCGTCGGTTCCCTGGAGGCCCCTGTGCTCCTCTGCAGAAATGCCACGCTTCTAGCTTTTGCTTAATAAAGATGTCAATAAGAGAGCAGTAATGCCTCTGTCTCTACACATCCTAAAAGCACATTTTGCCTTACCTCTCACTGCACTTGACCTTTGCCCTGTACACTTCTTCAAAGCAGTGACCACCATTTAGGCCCACATCCCCAGGCCCTGCTGCACCGTGTGAACCACAGGCCCACATCTCCAGGCCCCCCGCTGCACCGTGTGAACCACAGGCCCACATCTCCAGGCCCTGCTGCACCGTGTGAACCACAGGCCCACATCTCCAGGCCCTGCTGCACTGTGTGAACCACAGGCCCACATCTCCAGGCCCTGCTTGTGGCACTTTTTTCCTCTTTCTTTTACCTCATCATCCATCTGAATGAATATTGGCTGAGCACATGAAGACATTACTGATATGGACTGGAGGTGCAGTGGCTTCAGTGCTTTGGATCCTCTGCCTTTCAGGCTGGCCACCTAACCACATTCTCCCCACTCTCTGGGGTCTCTCCCAGGACACAGGACAACACGTTTGTTTTGCTGAGATGGGGGTTTTTGTAACTGAATATTTATTCCTCTATCAGACTGTGTGCAATTATAAATCTTACTCCTGCCAGGCAGTGGTGGCGCACGCCTTTAATCCTAGCACTTGGGAGGCAGAGGCAGGCGAATCTCTGAGTTCGAGGCTGGCTCAGTAGTTATGTTCAGATCCTGGAATATACATCAGGTAGCTCACAAATGCCTATCTGCCTATAACTCTAGCTCCAAGAGATCTGACTCCCATGGGCATCTACACACCCACGCACGCACACGCGCATACACACCACAATATATGTGTTATGTGTATGGTGTGTGCATGTATATATGTATATATATGTTTGTTTTACTTTATTATACTTTTAGTTTGATATCTTTTTTGTTTTTTTTTTTTTAATGTATCCCTGTGTGTATACTACCTGTGTATGCACGTGTGTCAATGTTGTGAGACTGAGAGAGAAAGACAGAGACAGGGAGGAGCTATGATTCTGTCATCCCTACACTAGCGGTAACTGTGTGGTTGGCCACCATCTTGGCTGGTGACTATATGTTAAAGAAGCTTTTTTAAAACAAGCTCTTGGCCAGGGCCAGACATGGTGATGCACACCTTTAATCTCAGCACTAGGAAGGCCGATGTAAGCAGATCTCTCTGAGTTTGAGGACAGCCTAATCTACACATCAAGTTCTGGCCAAGCCAGGGCTACATAGTGAGACTCTATCTCAAAACAAATAAAAATGTAAAAGGTCATAATACCCCCTTTATATTCCACAACACCATGCAGGGGCCTAACACCCACTGTTCTGACTAGAGGTCAAAAGCAATGGAGGTGGCAGCCCCTACCTACTCAGATGGCAGCTCTGCCTGGAGACTGCAGCCCAGAGCATGGACTGTAACTGGAGGAGAGGGAGCATCACAATAAACACTATAGAAACAAACCAACAGAACATCACTGATGATGTGATGACTTTAGACTCCAAGTTCCCCCATCCCCATAGTTGGGGCTCTCAATCCAGGCCATCCCCGGAGTGGCCACTGCACTTTGTGAGGAAGGGTTCCTCCCACTCCTCTGAAGTATGGGAGGCAGGAAGGTGAAGGAACAAGTGCCTTGGCTGTGGCTGAAGCTTCCAGCTGCTTCCAGCACAAGCGCTGCAAAGCTATAAGCACCGGACCTGGAGGGAACGAGCGTCTGCTAAGAGAGCAGCTGGAGCTCAGTCTCTGCTGATCCACTGACCTAGCACGCCACAGCCCCTCCATAGACTTCTCTTGTACCACTTGGCACATGCCACACAGTAACTCTTCACTCCCTGCTGTCTTCTCTGAATCACAGGGCTTGGGAGGTAGCCCCACTGTGGAGTGTTTGCCTGACACAAACGTGGTTTAAAACAAACAATACAAACAAACAAAAAACCAACCACCAACAACAACCCAGAAAGCATGTGGACTTTTGAGCAGGGCCTGGTATCATGCACCTATAATTTATAGTATGAAGGAGGAAGAGGAGAGGAGATCAGTAAAGGTGAACTGCAGCTATCTAGTGGGTTTGAGTCAGCCTGGACTATATAAGACCTGACTCAAATACAAAGCCGGTGGGATAGGACACACCAAAAGCTGTGTCTATGACTCCTCTAGCCAGTGCTGTGGGAATGTGACGGCCAGCCCCGACCTGGTGGCACTGCACTATTGCCTGCCCAGGAAGAAACTACTCTATCCCAGTCATTGATGACACTTCTTTCTATTTTCCCTGGGTGGTCTAGCTTGTGTGACAATTTATACATGACTCCCCTATGGTGGCTAAGAACTTCAGGTGGTACCCAGCACTCCTTAAATAGCCATTGGCCTTTTTGTCCTGACATGCAGAGAGATCCTAGGGGCCTGCGAATGGTGGTGCTGTGAGCTAACTGCTTGCTCTGGCTTTTATAAACCCACTATTGCTGTGGGACAGGATGAAATGGTCTCTTCCTGCTGTATAATGGAGCTGAGAACAACTGAGGGCCACGAAGCAATTCTGTTGCCCAGCTGTGGATTCCATAGCGCATGAGACAACTGTGAGGCCCACCACTATGAACCCTTCCTTTAGTACCCTTTGGCTCTGAGGCTCCCATCTTTCTGCTGGCAGAAAGAATAAATCCATTTCCTCTAAATTTGAATTGAGTCTAAGTCTTTGGTCTTTACCAGTGGATTCAAACTCCTCAACAGCAGGAGAGCCCTCAGCACACATTTACCAAATGGTAGGGATCGCATACAGGGAAGTACACAGAGATGACCTAGAGCCCTGGGGCATAAGTGTGCATGAGACACCAGACACTTCCTTTCAATGGGGCTCTGAAGGTCATTATCCTGTCCTAAAGAGCCAAATGGAAGCAGTAATTTCGACTATCAATAAAGCTTCTGTGACAAGGGGAAATGCTGGCTTCGTAGAGTGTTAAGTTCTAATCTGTACTTCACAGCTGAGTGCAGCTCTCAGAGAAACCATGTCTTTTAGAGGAAGCCAGGCCAGTGTTAAAGCACTTCCGGGAGGTGGTGAGCACAGCTGTGGGCCATGAGTAATAACTGTTTCCCAGAGTTCCCACCTCGGTCTCTGTAGGAATCACTTCTGGCGCCTCTCGCTTGCTCAGCTGAGTGGACTGGGTGTGCTCAGCTTTCACAGCTGCAGCAGGCAACAGTCTTTTCCTGCAGCTGCCAGGCCAGGGCCCTCTGTTCCCTCAGGAGAGTAGCACCCGCTTGTTTCTGCCTCCATGCTGATGGCTAATTTAAAGTTGAACATTTGGTGTCCAGTTGACAGCAGCCCTGAAGGCTGGTTGTAGGGCCAAGAGCATTCCTGGGGTCCTCACATACACACTGCCCTAAGTGCAGACGTGGAGCCTGTGCACACACCAACCCTCTCCCCTGTGGTAAGGCAGCAGTCTAGAGCACACAGTTTGGTTTTACTTTGTTGTTTTGTCATCTTGTTGGTGGTGGTGTGTGCACGCAAGCACACCTCTGCCATGGCATGTATGTGGAGGTCAGAGGGCAACCTTTCAAAGTCAGTTCTCTCCTTCCACATTAGTTCTGAGAATTGAGCTCAGATGGTCAGGCGTGTACAAGCTTTTACCCACTAAGCCACCCTGCTGGTCTTATGTTTTGTTTTTATTTTGTTGTTTGCTTGTTTGGGGGACAGGGTCTCACAGCCCAGGTTGGCCTGGAACTCACTCTATATAGGCCTGAAGTTCAGGATAGCCTGAAACTCATGGCTATGCCTTAGCTTCTCAAGTGCTAAGACTACAGGTGTGAACTGCCATGCCCAGCTCTAATCTACAGGTGCTAATTTACTGTATTTAATCCACCCCCACAGACCCTGTGGGATTGATCTGAGTGTGGTCCCAGCTTTGCCAAAAGGCAGACAGACTCTGAAGGAGGAGTGAAGAGCTGCCCAGGGCCTCTAAGCTAAGGAGAGAGGGAAGTGGTGCTCTTTTCCACCTTCCCAACAAACTCTAGAGTGAAAACATAGGCAGACTATAGACACCAAGTCCAGGGATCACAGAGGCCCACAGTGGTCAGGGCCAGGAGGCAGGCAGCAGACAGAATGCAGAGTAGACTAGGTGGGGGTGGGGACAAAATGAAGCATGCAGCCTAAGTCATGGATTGAGACCAAAGCACCATCCTGCCTTCTGACTCTGTACAACACCCCTCTTCACGTAGCTCGAAACTGAGCCACAAGGGGGTGTTGAGGACAGAGCAGCGTGGGCCAAGCTCCAGGGTGGCGGCAACAGCCTGTTCTCATTCAGCGCTCTACCTCCATCACCTGCTAGACGGGAGAACTCGGGCAAGTCACCTGCCATCTTTGTACCTCTTTCTGTGTAAGATGGAGAAAATCTCTCACATTAAAGAGATCAGCAGAGCTGAGATGCACATTTGAGGAAGGCAGGAAACCCACACAAGAACTCAGCACAGAAGTCCCTTCCACAGCCTACCTCTATTCCCAAGATGCCATAAGCTCACTCCCAGGATGGCACATGTCAAGAAAGCCTTGTAATGGCATATGGTAGCACAAACAAGAAACTAAAGCCACCTTCACCTTGCATATGAAGAAGACATGCCACCTCCAATTTCCATGCAGGGACCCAGCAGCCCAAGCCCCACCCTTTCAGAGCAGCATGGCCTCACTCCCACCTTAGAAAGAGGGATGGCCTCTATCCAGAGTCCCCAGCACTTGGGACATGCTAGGAGTGAAGCACAGAAGAAAATCCAAGACGCCTCCTGTTCTTGCTACAGGGTAGCTTCAGGCTCACCTTAGATGGCACAGCCACTGGGAAGTCTGCAGCTTTAAGATACGCCAAGGGGCTCTGAGAGCCTCCCTCTACCCTGACCTTACTTCAAAGAGTTTCCAACCAATATATCCTCCTGAGGATTAGGGGCTCTGATGGCCTTAAAGACAAAGAATTAACAAGACCTGGAACAACAGCTGATGTTTGCTTTGGTTTCCATCCTAGTTGTGGACATCCTTTTTCTACCCAGTGGTGGCCAGGACACTAGGTTAAAAAGAAAAGGCACATAGGCAAGTACAGGGATGCTTCCCCCTTCCTTCGCTCATCTTTCTTTCTTCCTTTCTTTCTTTCTTTCTTTCTTTCTTTCTTTCTTTCTTTCTTTCTTTTTTCCCTTCCTTCCTTCCTTACTTCCTTCCTTCCTTCCTTTCTTTCTTTTTAAAGATTTATAGCCGGGCGGTGGTGGCGCACGCCTTTAATCCCAGCACTTGGGAGGCAGAGGCAGGTAGATTTCTGAGTTTGAGAGTTCAAGGCTAGCCTGGTCTACAGAGTGAGTTCCAGGACATCCAGGGCTACACAGAGAAACCCTGTCTCGAAAAACAAACAAACAAACAAAAAGATTCATTTATTTTATGTATGTGAGTACTCTGTCACTCTCTTCAGACACACCAGAAGAGGGCATGATATCCCATTCCAGATGGTTGTGAGCCACCATGTGGTTGCTGGGAATTGAACTCAGGACCTCTGGA